TCTCCTCCTCTCCTCTCCCCTTCCCTTTGCTTCCCTTCCCTTCCTCCCTTTCTTTTTCTTTTCTCTTTGTTTTCTTTTTTGTATTTTATTGGAAATAGATTCTTTTCTCGTACACTACCATCCTGATTATGGTAACTTCTTTCTCTACTCCTGTCAGTTCTTCCGCACCTTTCCTCCCATCCAGAGTCATTCCCTTCCTGTTTCTTGCTAGAAAATAATAGGCTTCTAATAAAACACAGCAATATAAAATACAGTAATATAAAAAGAAAAACTATCACCTCAAAACTATCACCTTGGACAAGCCAAACCAACAAAAGGAAAAGAAACCAAGAGAAGTCACAAGAATCAGGGATTCACTCATTCTCACACTCAGGAGTTCTATAAAAATAATACTGAACTGAAAGCTATAAAGTATATACAGAGAACCTGGATTAGACCCATGTAGGCCCTGTGCTTGCTGCTTTAGTTTCTGAGAACTTATATGAGTTTTGCTCAGTTAATTTAGAGGACCTTGTTCTTCTGGTATCCTCCATACCCTCTAGTTTTTACACTCTTCCCACAGCCTCTTCCACAGGGTTCCCTGGGCTCAGAGGTGAGAAATTTGTTGGAGACATCCATTTAGAGTAGTGTGTTCCAAGATCTTTCTCTCTCTATCCCTGCATATTGTCTGTCTGTGGGTCTCTGTGTTTGTTTCTATCTGATGTAGTAGGAATATTCCCAGATGAAGGATGAGTAAGGCATTGGACTATGAATATAGCAGAATATCATTAGGAGTCATTTTACCACAACTTTTTTTCTTTTTTTAAATATCAGTGGTATTTGGTTTTAGCCTTGGTCTCTAGGTTCTTGATCTATTCTCTGGTTCTTGATCACCAAAGAAGTTTCACGTATGGGTTTCATCTTGTGGGGTGAGCCTTAAGTCAATTCATATTTGACTGGTTAACCTCACAAACTTTGGGCCACTATTTCCCTAGCATATTTTGCAGACAGGAATGCATTGTAGGACAAAGGGTTTGCAGCTGAGTTGCTGTATACTTTTCTCTTTTGGTAGCCTACAGAGTACCTTCCTGTACCAAAGATACTAGAATATATGGGTAAAAGTTCTATACAGGAACCAGCTTACTCTCTCCATGTCAAATGAGTTGTGTAGGTGGTATCTTCAGCAATGGGCTCAGTTTGTGGAGAGCAACCTATTGTCTTGGCAAGAACCTGGGTTATTTGGGGATTTCCATAGGACCCCTTTGACCAACAACTCAATTTGATGTAACCCAATCCTCGAATTGGAAGCTTCCTTTGGTGACAAGAGATGTCCAGTTGGGACTCTGTCTCCTCAAATATTAGACTTCATTAGTATTTCCTTCATATATTTTAAGAAGTTTCCACTGCACCAGGTTTCCATCATACCCTCTAAAATGTCCTTCAATTCTACCTGTCTTTCCCCATATTTCCTCCCTCAACTACATCTCTCCCCCCAGATCTTCTCATCCCCCCATCCATCCCTTATCAAACCATAAAGTCTATTCTACTTCCACCTCCCAGGGATATCCATGTGTCCCACCCTTGGTCCCTTCCACTATATGATTCTCTGTGTCTATGGGATGTAGGTTGGCTATTATTTACTTAATGCCTAATATCCACATATAAGTGGGCATATACTGTAGAAGAATTTCAATCCAGCAACATGGCTGATCTGACAAGAGATCACATCCAGAGACCTTCTAGGTCTGTGTGATCCAGCTGGAATGATACATTTTTAATCCCTCAGGCTCGAATACAGACATGCCTTTAGTACACACTTTTAATCCAAAACAATGTTATCTAATTGAGGGACAGATAAAGTGATGAATAAGAAGAAGATTTGACAGAAGGATTCAAAGATAGAATATACCCAACTGAAGTGGGAATTTCTGGTTTCACTGGAGACTCAGTTGTGTCATGTGATGTTTTTCTGAAAGCTATCTTATGAGAGGATATTTTGCTTAAGCAGACACATGAAAGATGTTTTGCTGAGAACAAACACAGTGTTTTCTGTAAGTTGCCTGGTGAAAGGGCATGTGATGTTTTGCTGGAATAGACACTTGAGAGGATACATGATGTTTGGAAAGAGTGTAAGTATTAACACAGCAATGGAAAATGTTCTTGCACTGACTCATCTTGCAACTCTTTGGTGGTCATCTTTGGGTTTTGCTGATGCTGATCTTCACTGACAATGCTCTTGCATTGGTTTGCCTTACTTTCTTTGCTAATCATTGCTTCTCGTGGTCTTCTAGAGAGAAAAATCAGCAAAGAACTTCTGATTACATGCTGCCAACTTCTTGCTGCTTCCATAGACTTGTGCCAACTGGTGGATCTTTGTGGTTTCGTCTGGATAGAGCCACTGCTACTGATTCATATTTGGTGTTTGCCAAATGAAGTGGACTGCCACTGCTGATTCGCGTTTGGTGTTTTGATAGTAAACTGGACCACTGACAACAAAGATTGGAATCTCTCAAAAGAACTATTTCTAAACAGGTCCCCTGCTTCCTATTAACCTTTCTATTCTCCTACCTCTGGTGAGTGATAGCCTAGAAATGAGGTTGAAACATTGAAAAACCATAATTAAAGTAGGTTTTGAAAAAAAAAATCTAAGCCTACATCCAATTCTCATGAGAACAGACAAGGAAGAGAAGCTACTTAAAGCACAGTGAGGAGAGACAATTGAAATCAGTTCGACTGAGTTCAGTTGAGTTCTAAACAGTTCAGTTCATGGAGTTCAGAGGTAGTTTTGCCAAGCAAAGCAATTCAGTGATAAGCTGAGAAAAGCCAGTTTGAATTAGACAGCTAGGGAAGGCGTTTGAGCTAAAACAGCTAAGTTGAACCAGCCAGTCAGAGTTCAGAAAGAGTTAGTAGGGGTGAACATGTTTAGCAATAAGCCTCTAAGATGACAATTGCATCTGGTAAATAAAAGATACTTTTACAACATACTACATTTATTTTTCTATGTCTGGGTTACCCTACTCTGGATTTTTTTTGTTACATCCATTTGTTTGCAAGTTTCATGATGTCATTTTTAAATAGTTGAGTCCCATTTAGTAAATGCTAATCTTAGTGCCTGTCTTACTGGCGTTCTGCTCAGAAAGTTATCTCCTGTACTAATGCGTTCAAGGGTATTTCCCATTTTTTTTTCTACCAGGTTCAGTGTATTGGGTTTTATGTTTATGCCTTTAGTCCACTTGCACTTAAGTTTTGTGCAGAGTGATAGATAGGATCTATTCACATTCTTCTACATGCAGCTGTCCAGTTTGACCAGCACCATTTGTTGAAAATGATGTGTTTTTTTCCAATATATATATTTCTGGCTTTTTATTAAAAATCAGGTGTAGATAGGAGTGTGGAATTATGTCTGGGCCTTCGGTTTGAATTCATTGATCAATCTGTCTGTTTTTAAACCAATAACATGCTGTTTTATTACTGTAGCTCTGTAGTGCAACTTAAAATCAGAATGGTGAGACTTTCATCAGTTCTTTAATTGTTCAGAATTGTTTTATCTATCGTAGGTTTTGTGTTTTTCCATATGAAATGAAGAATTGTTCTTTCAAGATCTGTAAAGAATCATCCTGGAATTTTGATGGGAATTGAATCAAATCTGTACATTGCTTTTGGTAGGATGTCTATTTTTACTATATTAATACTACAGATCTTTCCACTTTCTGATATCTTCTTCAATTTCTTTTTTTCAAAGATTTGAAGTTTTTATCATAATAGTCTTTTATTTACTTGGTTAGAATTACTCCAAGATATTTTTATATAACTTAAGGCTATTGTGAAAGGTGTTTTCTGTGATTTCTTTTTCAGTCCATTTGTTATTTGTTTATAGGAGAACTGTTGATTTTTCTGAGTTAATTTTATATCCAGATACTTTGCTAAAAGGCTTTCTCAGCTGTAGGAGTTTCTCAGTGGACTACATAGGGTCACTTATGTATGCTATCATATCATCTACAAATGGGGAGAGTGGACAACTTTATTCCTGATTTTGGTGGAATTAATTTCAGTTTCTGTTGGGGTACATTGTGTGAAGGTGTATCTTTGTATATTCAATTGTTAATTCCGTACTGGTAATATTTTGTAAATATCTGGTCCCTCTTCACCTGCCTAAGGCAATCTAGAATCGTATCTGGTTGGGATTAATAAAGATCTCACGGATAATAGCTGGAAGGTGGAACTTCCAGACAGAGATAGGGACTCTGGGAGAAGAATTGAGAGAATTTGTCAGTGTACTCAAGAAGTGGGTGGATGAACCAGAGCTGGCCACGTGGAGGGATGTAGAGCAGGATTAGTCAGGATAGTGTAGTCAGGAGATTGCCGAGCTGAGGTTTTAAAATATTAATAAGTCTTTTTCTCGTTGTTTATATCACTGACGTGTTCAAGAGACTATCACCATAAATCTCTCTAATGTAAGTTGATGCTGGATATGGACTTGTTGTAAACTACCTTTGTCATGTTTAGTATACCCCTTGTCCCCCAGTCTCTCCAGAACTTCTATCATGTAGGGGTGTTGGGTTTTGTCAAAAGCTTTTTCAGCATCTAATGAGATTATCGTGTGGGTTTTGTTTTCTTTCAGTGAGTTTGTACGGTGAATTACTTTGACAGATTTTCATACGTTGAACCATCCCTGCATCTCTTGAATGAGGCCTACTTGATCATGATTGATTTTGATGTGTTTTTGGATTTGGTTCGCAAGCGTTATGTTGAGTACATTTGCTTCTATGTTCATTAGGTAAACTGGTCTATAATTCTCTTTCTTTGTTGAGTCGTTATGTAGTTTGTATATCAGAGTAACACATAACTGTGGTCTCATAAAATTAATTTGGTCATGTTCCCTCTGCTTTTGTTTTGTAGAATAATTTGAGGATGATTGGCAATAACTCTTCTTCCAAAAACTGGTAGAATTCTGGACCAAAACCATCTGGCCCTGGGCTTTTCTATGTTGGGAGATTTTAATCTCTGTTTATATTTCACTAGAGGTTACAGTTCTGTTTAAGTTGCTTATGTGATCTTAATCTTTGGTAAGTGATTTATATATACATGCATATGGAATTATCCATGTCTTTTAGATTTTCCAATTTGTTGGAATACAGGCTACTAAAGTGTGTCCTTATGACTCTCTGGATTTTTCCCAATATCTATTGTATCCCTTTTGTTTCTGATTTTGTTAATTTGGAAATTCTCTGCCTTTCAGTTAATTTGGATAAGGGTTTGTTAACCAAACTAACTTTCTCAAAGAACCAACTCTTTGATTCTTTTTATTGTTCTGTTTTCTGTTTTGTTGATTTCATCCCTTAGTTTCTAGCCATCTACTCATTTTGGGTGAGATTTCTTTTTGTTCTAGAGCTTTCAATTGTGCTGTTAAGTTGCTAGGATGGTACCTCTCCTGTTGTTGTTGTTGTTATTGTTATTTAATGCAGGCCCTTTTAAGCTATGACCTTGCCTCTTAGATCTGCCTTCATTGTGTCTCATAAGTTTGGGTATATGGTGTATTCATTTTCATTCAATCCTAGAAAGGTTTTAATTTCTTCCTTAATGTCACTGTTGACTACTTTTTCGTTCAGTAGAGAGTGGCTCAGTTTCCATGCCTGTAAGCTTTGTTGTATCTGCTATTGTTACCTCCAGCTTTAATCCATGATGGTTTGATATAATGCAGGGAATTGTTTCAATTTTCTTGTATCTGTTGAGACTTGGTTTACGTCTGAGCATGTGGTCAGTTTTGGAGAAAGTTCTGTGAGGTTCAGAGAAGAAGGTATATTATTTTGTGTGTGGGAAAAATATTCTGTAAATATCTGTTGCATTCATTTGGTTTATAACAACTGTTAGTTTCAGCATTTCCTTGTTTTGTCTAGCTGATCTGTCCATTGGTGACAGTGGGGTATTGAAGTCTCCCTATTAGTATGTCAGGATCAATATGTGGTTTAAGCTGTATTAGAGTTTCTTTTACAAACTTGAGTGCCCTTGTGTTTGGGGCATAGATGTTGAAAATTGCAATGTCCTCTTATTTTTTTTTTTAAATCTTTTCTGATTAGATTTGATTTGAAGTCTGTTCTGTCAGATATTAAAATGGCCATTTTAATGCAAGATATTTTTCTCTTGTACTTTTTAGTATTCTTTTTTTCTTTTGTAGATTTAGTGTTCTGATTATTATGTGCTGAAGGGACTTTCTTTTCTAGTCTAATCCATGTGGTGTTCTGTATGCTTCTTGTACCTTTATAGGCATCTCTTCTTTAGGTTAGAAAATTTTTCTTCTATGATTTTGTTGAAAATATTTTCCGAGCATCTGAGTTGGTTTCTTCTTTTTCTTCTATTTCTATTATCCTTCAGTTTGGTCTTTTCATAGTGTCCCAGATTTTCTGGGTGTTTTGTGTAGGCAGGCTTTTGGAGTCAACATTTTCTTTGATCAATGTATCCATATCTTCCACCATATATTCAACATCCAAGACTCTCTCTTCTGTCTCTCTCTGTTGCTGACACTTGCCTTTGAAGTTCCTTTTCAACTTCCTAATTTTTCATTTCAAGAATTCCTTCCATTTTGTGAGTTTTATCTTTCTTTCTTTCTGCCTTCCTTTCTTCCTCCCTCCCTTCCTTTCTTTTTTGGTTTTCTTTATTGACTCTATTTCCATTTTTAGGTCTTGAACATTTTTATTCATTTCTTTCTACTATTTGTTTGTGTTTCCCTGGATATCTTTAAAGAATTTATTTATTAATATCCTCTTTAAGAACCCCTCTTTGTTTGTTTGTTTTTTGTTTTTCGAGACAGGGTTTCTCTGTGTAGTTCTGGCTTTCCTGGAACTCACTCTGTAGACCAGGCTGCCCTCAAACTCAGAAATCCACCTGCCTCTGCCTCCCAAGTGCTGGGATTAAAGGCGTGTGCCACCACCACTCGGCTATACTAGAGGTTCAAATTATGAATTTTGGATGTATGTAGACATTCAGGCTATAGCTCTAGGTAGGGACAGCATCCCTTTCCTAGTTATTTTTAACTGTCAACTTGACATAAACTAGAGTTATCACCCCCAAAAAAGTCTCCTTTGAGGAATTCTTTAGATCAAGATGCCCTGTTGGCATTTCTCTGGGAGATTATCCTATTAGTTGACATAGGTGGGCTGTCTCAGTTATTTTTCTATTGCTGTAACAAAATTGAGGAAGGCAACTTATAAAAAAAAAGCACTTAATTTGGGGTTCATGTTTCCAGAGAATAATAGAGTCCTTGACTATAATGGCAAGGAACATGGAGCAGGCAGGGATAGCATGAGAGCGGTAGTTGAGAGCTTTCATCTTATCCACAAGCAAGAGACAGTGAGAGCACTAACAAGGAATCACATGGGATTCTGAAACCTTAAACCCCATCCTCCACTGACACACTTTCTTTCTTTCCTTCCTTCCTTCCTTCCTTCCTTCCTTCCTTCCTTCCTTCCTTCCTTCCTTCCTTCCTCCTTCCTTCCTTCCTTCCTTCCTTCCTTCCTTCCTTCCTTCCTTTCTTTCTTTCTTTCTTTCTTTCTTTCTTTCTTTCTTTCTTTCTTTCTTTCTTTCTTAGGTTTTTCGAGAAAGGTTTCTCTGTATAGCCCTGGCTGTCCTGGAACTCACTCTGTAGACCAGGCTGGCCTCAAACTCAGAAATCCACTTGCCTCTGCCTCCCAAGTGCTGGGATTAAAGGCGTGTGCCACCACTGCCTGGCAACACTCTTTAAACAAGCCATGCCTTCTAATCCTTTCCAAACAGTTCCAACAACTGGGGACCAAGCACTCAAATATATGACCCTGTGGGGCAATTCTCATTTAAAAAATCACCTCAAGGGCTAAGCCTACCTTGGTTGACATCATCCCTGGCAGGTGGCCCTGCCTGTAGAAGCAACCATTTGAGCAGTTAGATACACATCAAGCAGCATTTTCCTATGCTTTCTGCTTTATACTTTTTTGGTTGTGAGTGGGTTCCC